AATGTTATGATGTTCGAAAATTCTATTCCACGCGAGTACAGGTAAACGATTAAATAACCCGCTGGTGAGATGAAAAATCCTATTTTGTAATGACTCTACCTGTCTATGCAAATCAAAGATTTCAATGCTCATCGCATTTGTTTTGAATTTGTACAACATACTATCTAGTCTTCTGATCGATCTGTGATGAAAAACGTTAAATTTAATGCGGCAAAAACCTTCTAAATGTGTAGGAAAAATATCGCCATTTTTACAATTTCTTAAAAATTCCAATTTTGCTCTCGCTCTTATTAACAAGTAATTCGCATTAATCCATTGTTTAAAATAATCTGCGGTTATTCTTCCAAAAACTCTATGAATAAAATTAAAATTAAAATAGTAATCAGTCCGTTTTGTGTTAAATTGACCGCATTGTAAGGCCAGCGTATATTAAAAATAAATTAATACAATTGTCGCTCGTATATTGAAAACAAAGTGATAAATATAAGGCCAACTTATCGAGCTGAATATTCGAGATGTTCAGTCAACTACCATTTATTACATGTATAAATTATAAAACTACAGTCATTATATTAAAACTAACGCAAATTACAATCATTCTATAAACGTTTCGACCGCACGCGGTCTTCTTCAGTATAATTATTGAAATATAATTCTTACAATTCACATAATATCGAAATTTAATTATAGTTATTCAGAATCAAGAGTTTTGAGCAATTAACGCGTGTTTCAATCCGTCCTGTCCAACAATGTTCGCCTCGATATGATCCCCGATTTTGTTCAGATCTCGGATAGTTTCATCGTTAATATGCGAGAAATTAACCCGTTCCGTAGGCGCTGCGATTAATAAAAAATTACCGATCAATGTATGTCCAAATTATAATTGTATCCCCTACAATTGGTAGTATGCTTACCTATCATCGTCTTCTTGACAATTTTGCTACTTATTAACAGTTATTACCTGTTGCAATTAACAGTTATTAACTGTTGCAAATGGGTGATAAATTCTGTCTTCCGAATATTAGTAAAAAACAGCGATACATGAATTCATCAAGGACATAGAGAGTAATAGCAAACGAAATAATATTAATAATCTCACAACGATCAGAAATATCGCGGTTCCAAAATTTGCACAACTTCTGAACACGAAGGATAAAATGACGTAAGTCAAAAAATTACTGGTGCACACAGAGATTTAATAAAATTTTGTAAAGACAATCCGAATGTTCTATTCACACGCGCGGACAAGGGTAATGCTACGGTGGCAATGGAAAGATCTCATTATATTAACAAAATGGAAAACGTTTTAAAAGATGTCAACACTTACACTATTGTTAAAAAAAATCCGTGCAAAAAAATAGAGAACGATTTGAATGATTTGTTGAAGAGATGGCTTAAGGAAGATTATATTTCAAAAAACGAATATTATAAATTACGTTGTAGTGATTCTCTCCTTCCAAAAGCGTATGGATTACCTAAAATCCATAAGGAAAACTATCCAGTTAGAATCATAGTTTCATCGGTTGATACAGCTCTATACTCGCTGGCTTCGTTTTTACAAAACACCTTACGAACTAGCCTACCCAAAGCGAAAAGTCATATTAATAATAGTTTTGATTTGTACAGCATATTGTCTGGTAAAAAGATTGATGAGAATGATAGGATGTTTTCCTTGGATGTGGTGTCTTTGTTTACGAACGTTCCTCTGGATCTTGCGATTGACGGTATTAACGATAGATGGGATTACATTGGAATAAATACTAAAATACCGAAAAACGAATTTTTGGGGGGTATAAAATTCATATTGACTTCTACATATTTTACATTTGATGACATAATTTATAAACAGACGTTTGGGACCCCTATGGGGTCACCGTTATCACCAATTATTGCAGACCTGGTTATGCAAGATCTTGAGGATACAGTTCTCAAAGCGTTGAATTTGGAATGTTTGTTTTATTTTCGTTATGTGGATGACATAATAGTGGCCACCTCTATGACTAATATGACTCAGATTGTGAATAATTTTAACAACTATCATGAAAGACTTAAATTCACGGTCGAACAAGAGGTTAACCATAGCTTGAATTTCTTAGATTTATCACTTAAAATTATTAATAACAAAATATATATAGACTGGTATCAAAAAGAAACCTTCTCAGGAAGGACGTTATCATTTTATTCAAACCACCCATTATGCCACAAAATTGGAATAATATATAACCTTGTAGACAGATGTCTATTGCTATCACATCCACTATTTTTTAATAAAAATTTGGAGTTAATTATTAATATACTCAGAAGCAATGGTTACCCTCTTGATCTGATTTTTAACAAAATTAATCATCGGATAGAACACATCATATCTAAGGGGAGCATTATAGAGAGACAGGCCAACATAGAAAGAACAAAAAGTATAGGAAATGACTCGGTCAATAAAAAATTCTTTGTCATTCCGTATATAGATGGGATCTCAGAAATGATTGTTTCCTCGGTAAAAAATAAAAATTGTATGGTAGGGTATAGATGTCTCAACAAACTGGATAATATTATTAAAGCGCAGAAAGATAAAACTAAACATCCATGCAATTCGAATGTGGTTTATAAGATCAGTTGCAATAATTGTAATGCATCTTATGTAGGCCAAACAAAGAGGCAATTGCAGACGCGAATGAAAGAACATAAAAATAATATTAGATTGGACTCAACGAAACATTCAGTAATTTCTGAACACATAATAAATGAACATCATACTTTTAATTGGGACAATGTTAAGATCATGGACAACGAAAATAATTATTATAAAAGACTCATTTCTGAGATGCTACATATCAAGGAACAAAAAAATGGACTAAATTTAAACAAAGATACTGAGTTACTTAGCGAGTCGTATTTTGATATTTTGGATATATTAGCGAACAAGAAATAATAATAGGACAAATAGGACATTAACGAGTAAAACATAGATATTAGATCATATATAAACACGCACGCTCTCCGATCAAGTAGAGTTTAAAATGAGCTGTCTTTCTGTATTGTTGGTTTGTTATGTGTCATCCTTAATAACTGTTAATAAGTAGCAAAATTGTCAAGAAGAACGATGATAGGTAAGCATACTACCAATTGTAGGGGATACATATTATAATTTGGACATACGTTGATCGGTAATTTTTTATAATCGCAGCGCCTACGGAACGGGTTAATTTCTCGCATATTAACGATGAAACTATCCGAGATCTGAACAAAATCAGGGATCATATCGAGGCGAACATTGTTGGACAGGACGGATTGAAACACGCGTTAATTGCTCAAAAACTCTTGATTCTGAATAACTATAATTAAATTTCGATATTATGTGAATTGTAAGAATTTATATTTCAATAATTATACTGAAGAAGACCGCGTGCGGTCGAAACGTTTATAGAATGATTGTAATTTGCGTTAGTTTTAATATAATGACTGTAGTTTTATAATTTATACATGTAATAAATGGTAGTTGACTGAACATCTCGAATATTCAGCTCGATAAGTTGGCCTTATATATATATTATATAAAAATTCAAATGTCATTTTTAGAGCATTTTTTTTACAATAATTTAAAAACAAATTTTTAACTGTTTTTTTGTATAACAGTTTTTCACGTGGATGTATAAACTTGTCTTTTTTTACTTTTTTTTTTAAAAAGGTAAATTGTTCTAAAAATTGTCATTTTAAGTTTAAACAATATATTTTTACTGTACAAAATGATTAAATATTTACCAAAAAAATTATATCGAAAAATTGCAACAAATAAATAAAAATTTATTCTATAAATTCTTTTATAATTATTTAATTAAATTAATTTTTTTAATAGAATATTTTAACCAAAATTTTATGAATATGTAATAACTCTGCGAAAAAAAATTGTACGAACATTTTTTAAAGAGTGATGGCAAATTTTGCCAATTTTCTGGACTTTGAATTTCAAATTTTTTCATGGTAAATAGTACTATTAGATGAAACATTAATCCCAGTAAAATTTCAAAATGAGCAATAAGCACGGTTCCGGAGAGAGAAAATTATGATTTTTAGTCAGTTGTATCAGAAATTATCACTTTCACTTTTTCATATCTAAGGAACCGTGCCTATGTTCATCTTGAAGTTTCTCTGGGATTAATATCTCATCATATAGTACTATTTGGCATAAAAAAGTTTAAAATTTGAAGTCCCAAAATTCAATTTTAATGGGCGAAAATACAGGTCTTTTTGCCATCACTCTTTATATGATAATCATAAAAAGTATACTACATTCATATCACTTGTCATAATCATTTGTCACCCCTAGTTTCCATGCACGCTTTGCCACGCGTTAGCGCGCTGCAAACGCGTGCATTCGTAGTATATCGCGTGGTTTTGTTGAATTTAACTAATTTCAGTGGAATTTGGCATGTCATAACGCACGCGTTTGATGCGCGCTAACGCATGCATAGAAACTAGGAGTTATTTGTCATGTTTCAGTGCGTGAAATTTTAACTACGTAATTTGTAAAATATAATTGCTTTCCCCTTTAAAAACTATTATAGCCTCGACATTTTTTGCATTGAATTTTTGTCTTGAAATGTTCTAAGGAATCTGCTATTAAGCGAAAGTACAGTAGTTTTAGGACATCCTAATAATACTTCCAAATAATAACATTTTCCATCAAAATTCGATAACATATTCGACCTGTACACGCGCAATTTGCTGTTATTAATTGCAAAAGATAAAGGCATTTGCTGTCGATAAAGGGGTTGAAAACCAGCAACTGATACAACACATAACGAGGGATATTTTATAAATTAATCAACTTACCTCTCTCTTTTAAACTTTCACAGTTGATTTGAGATGTTGAAATTAATAACGAATTATTTCTCTTGCTAGAACAATAAACGTATAGCAAATATAAATAGAAAAATATAGTTCTTTCTCACAAACGTACGTTTACTTTTTTTAATTGATAGTTTCGCCGTCGCTTAACTAACTTCACTGTCTACAAATACAAATAAATTGTAGAGATTAACAATCGTTTTATGACAACGAGCGACGACAATAAAAGTACTGTGAGAATGCATCATGCGGTGAGAATTAAATATTATTGGCAGTATTTATAGACAGGAAATGAGAAAGAAAAAAGGAAGAGAATATTAATGTTTCCGCAGTATAAATTATTCGGCAAATATATTTCTGCGAAATATTCACGAGTCTAATGATTAAGTTTAAAAGATGTAAAAAAACTGTGAAGTCACCAGATGATAATTAAAAAATGGTAGTAATTTAATCAACCAACTCTGGCAATTTAAGTGATCTTTATTCAATATTTACGACGTTTCGGCCATGGATTTCGGCCCTTATCAAGTGCTATAATATATAATAATGACAATTATTAGAAAATTAAAAATTAAAAAGTAACAAAGTAACTATAATAAAACGATAAATATTTCCACACATTAATATGTAATCAATTAAAATTAATATTAATCAAAATTAATATTGGTCGCTAGTGGTGAAAATAAGCTTAAAAAACTTGACTTTGACGTAACTAGCAAATTTTATTTAATTATTTCACGACGTTTCGACCATTTGGTTGTGGTCCTTTTCAAGTGAAATTTCTACAACATAATATTACACAATAGTTTTTAACATACGCGAAAACTCATTTAAGTGTTAAATTAATAAAATAAATATAAATTTTATAAACACACCCATCAATTAAACCGAGATTAACGTAACATCACACCGGTGTTATTTAAAATCGAAAGTTAAAAGTTAAAAGAGAAACACGTCCCATCGTTATGATGTTGAAAGTTAAAAGTTAAAAGAGGAACACGTCCCATCGTTATGATGTTTCGTCAACGACTAAATTTGAAACGCGCCACTAAACAATCTTTATTATTTTGTCGTAAATGTTTGTCAAATTCTCGGTGTCTTTCTGTAGGTTAACTGTATTGTCATGCTTCTTTATGAAGAACATTTCAGCAATCTCTTTCTTTCTTACATGTTTCTCGTTATGTAAAATTGTCGGTGATTTCCAATCAAAGTTATGCCCAAAATCACATCTGTGTTTGCTCAAAACCGAATGATTAGACTCATGTAATTTAATATTGCTGGCATGTTCCTTCACTCTAGTGCATAAATGTCTTTGTCCAATGTATGCTGTCGCCGGCAAGCGAAAGGTCTCGGGTTCGATTCCCGATTCAGCGATTTTCGGATCTATATTTTTCTCTTGCATTCATTTATTTATTTTCCGTAGGGGGTTAAAAAAATGAAATTAAATCTCAAATATGAGATTATTTCATATTTAAAATCTTGGCCGTGTCCAAGTAAAAATTTGGTTGCCTTGTGCACCGGTATTTAATACTAACGGAAAAATTATTTAGTTTCGTTAGGATAACGCATTGTCATCCGCGATTTGGCTCTTGTTGCCCGTCATATACGTTAAATTTATATTTATATTACAGGGCCTTGTTAAAACTCTTATATTAATTATTGTTGTCAACATTGCGATCGTCGTTATTTCGTGCCTCAAGCAATTTTAGCCTATTTTTTACAAACTTATTAACCACATTCGACGGAAAACCATTGTTTATTAGTATCGATTTTACTTTAGCAATGTTCACTTGATGAAAACTGTCGTCCGATAATAAAATCCGATAATACATTTGTTATTATCACTCCTGGACCTAATTATGGAATTTGTCCCAAACGTTGGTTTTTTCGTATAATTTTCACACGGTATGGCAACTACTATTGGGATCTGACATATAGCACCATTTATAGGATTTTTTATTTATTTGTCGCAATCTTTTGATATCATTATTGTTTTTTAGAAATATTTAATCATTTTGTACAGTAAAAATATATTGTATAAAATTAAAATGACATTTCTTAGAGCAGTTTTTACATTAATTTAAAAACACTTTTTTTATAACACTTTTATGTGAGCGTGTAAACTTGTCGCCTTTTTTACTTTTTGTTTTAAAGGTAAATTTTTTATGGATATCATTTTTTTGTAGTATATATTTATTATATACATATTTAAAATATAAAAGCAGAAAACCCACAATAACCTCGTCATATTTCATCAGAATACGACAGTCTCCTTGCTTACAGTAAATACTATGTATAAATAATGTAAATAGAAACGTCATAATATGCATTTTTGAAAGCTGAAAGCTAGTTGAACTTTCTTATTACTTTCTTATTATATTAACTATCTTCCTTATTATATTACTTCCTTATTATATTAACAATTACATATTTATAAAGGAATAACAGGATGATAGCGAAACAAGGAAAAATGTTAGATAAAAAAATATAATATATCACATAAGTTGTATCACATTTTTTAATAACAAATAGTTATTATATTTTGCAGTATATCAAAAAACCCTTCTATTTCCTTTATAAATATATGTTTATGATCAAATTATTTAAAACATAAAATGATATTTAGGCCGAAAATGATATTTTCGGTGTCCCGGGATCTTACCTTCGCGTGTGTTTTGTTTACATTCGGCCTGATACGGCTTTGTCGCAACCACGGTCTTGTATACAGGTCTCGCAACTCCGATGGAAGGAAGGGTTTGCTTAACAAAGTTAGATTTCATTTGGCGTGCAGGCGCAAGGAGCTGTACAATCGAGGGATGTCGTAACATATACATATGTACGTACATATGGGCGGTCTGATAAGTACTTAGCCTACAAAAGAAAAACGAAAATTTTGGAAAAGTGGCGATTTATTTCTCAACATAGTTTCCTTTTAGCTCGATACACTTGACCCAGCAATGCTCCAATTTTTTTAACTTATCTGAAAAATACGTTTTCTCGAGATTTGCAAAGTAGGTCCGCACGTCGGTTTTTGATGAGCCTCCGTGGCGGCGATGACCTCCTCATTTGACTCAAATTTTTGCCCGGCGAGTGACTTTTTCAAGTTTGAAAACAAAAAAAAGTCGCACGAGGCCAAATCTGGAGAATACGGTGGATGGGGCAGCAGTTCGTAGTGCAATTTGACCAATTTGGCCGTGGCGACGGCGGAGGTGTGAGCCGGTGCGTTGTCATGGTGGAAGAGCACTTTTTTCTTCGCCAAATGAAACCGTTTTTTCTGCAATTCAGTGTCGAATCGGCCCAATAATTCGGCATAGTAAAGCCCTGTGACCGTTTTGCTCTTCTTCAGGTAGTCGATGTAGATCACACCTTGTGAATCCCAGAAAACGGTGGCCATCACCTTTCCGGCCGATAGGACAGTCTTCGCCTTCTTCGGATCACGTTCGCCGGGTGATGTCCACTGTTTCGACTGTTCCTTAGTCTCTGGTGTGTACCAGTGGATCCATGTTTCGTCGACGGTCACGAAACGACGCAGAAACTCCTTCGGATTGCGCTTAAACAGCGTCAAACACTGCTCTGAAGTGGTGGCACGGTTGTGCTTGTTGTCCGGAGTGAGCAAACGCGGCACCCATCGCGCTGACAGCTTTCTCATGCCCAAAATTTCATGCAGGATATGACCCACGCGGTCTTTTGAGATGCCTACTGTTTCAGCTATCTCGCGCACCTTCAATCGGCGGTCTGCCAATACGAGATCGTGGATTTTTGTCACGTTATCCTCCGTGGTAGCCCTTTTCGGGGCACCTGGGCGTGGCTCATCAAAAACCGACGTGCGACCACGTTGAAATTCGTTAAACCAATTTTTGACGGTCGCCATCGAAGGAGAAGAGTCACCGTACACAGCATCCAAACGCTCTTTGATTTCGCTGCGCGATTTCTCTTCCAAAAACAAAAATCGAATCACCGACCGATATTGCTCTTTTTCCATTTTTCTAAAATCCGCGGACACGCCCGCTTCCACAGGCGGTCAAACAAAACTACGAGTCCGATTCGGCTGAAATTTTGACAGTAGCCGTCTACGAGAATGTACTACACGATAGTAAATCTCTGTTGTGATACTGGCACCATCGGGCGGTGAGGCTAAGTACTTATCGGACCGCCCTCGTATATTCATTGATGTATTTCATATGTACGTACAGTTTATGTATGTACAATGTATGTAAAATGTAGATACATAATTTGTATATACCTATACAGTATGTAATATGTATATACATTTCTATATATCATATATATACATACATTTTATAATCTCTAAATATATACATTTCATATACATGATTTGTACATACATTGCAATATGTAATATGTATATTCCTTGATGTCTTTTATATATGGTAAATGTATGTAAAGTGTAGATGTATAGTTTATATGTACTTTATATGTACTTTAGTGTATATAATATGTATATACATTTCTGTATATCGTGTGTACATTATGTTTCATAATATCTATAAAACACACTGAGAAAAAAGTTTTGTGTCAGCAACTAAAGCTTTGGTAGATATGTGACCAATTAAACCATATGGTTATCAGATTAATATTAATTTGTTGAATTGAATAATTTACTCAAAAGGTTTATCAAATTTTTCTTGATTAATCAAGAAAAGATTATCCTAAAAAAATCATAAAAATGAAAAGGTCAGGCCATGTTCAAAAGAAGGTACTCAAAAATTTAAACCTTTAAAAATTTAAACGATCTAATAATAAATTATCACGAAAAGTAACTGATATGTTATTCAAGATGCCAATTCAAAGTGAACATACGTAAAGTGTATATTATCTAAATTTAGTAATAATATATTACCATGAAAAGTAACTGTGATATTTTATTCAAGGTGCAAGTTCACATTGAACATACATACATATAAGTAAAACTGATTACAATTTGATTCTAGAAAATAAGTGCGATATGTTATTCTTAGTGCACAAAATATAATAGTCGTTATAGAGATTTGATTTGAAATTCATACTAGTCCGTACAATGAAAAATAATTGCTCGTAATTCCAGAGTATCAATTTGTTAATGACTCAGAAAAATAACATGGCGGCCTGCTTTCAAAAACTTTCGATGGGTAGAATAAATAATTGAAATAAGAGTTGTGAAAATTGTATAAATTAAAAACCTCCAATCTTTCTTTAGTAAAATTTCGAATTTTCGTATCAACTTCCGATTTGTGTTATACCGTATTTTCAGGGAGTAAGTTATTGAACTGACGTTTAACAACAACGTTGAATCCTTATTCTAATCTACTCTTCTTCTAATGTAATACTTTTCGTACTTCAAATGTTGTAGTAATTATTCTGTAAGAGCTTTGACATTATTTCTAAATGGACATCGAAAAACATCATAGTTTTTTGAGAGCAGGCCGCCATGTTATTTTTCTGAGTCATTAACAAATTGGTACTCTGGAATTACGAGCAATTATTTTTCATTGTACGGACTAGTATGAATTTCAAATCAAATCTCTATAAACGACTATTATATTTTGTGCACTAAGAATAACATATCGCACTTATTTTCTAGAATCAAATTGTAATCATTTTTACTTATATGTATGTATGTTCAATGTGAACTTGCACCTTGAATAAAATATCACAGTTACTTTTCATGGTAATATATATTACTAAATTTAGATAATATACACTTTACGTATGTTCACTTTGAACTGGCACCTTGAATAACATATCAGTTACTTTTCGTGATAATTTATTATTAAATCGTTTAAATTTTTAAAGGTTTAAATTTTTGAGTACCTTCTTTTGAACATGGCCTGACCTTTTCATTTTTATGATTGTTTAGGATTTAATTATCACGCACACATGAATTTATATAATAAACAATTATCTCATCAATATGAATATGTGCAGATATAATATAATATAATATAAATATGTGAATATATGATTCTGTTTGCAATTTTTAATTATTAAATTATATTATTTCAAATTATATGCATAATAGATATGCAACAAAACTATTATTATTAACAATATATTTGCAATCCAGATATTATATAAAACTATTCACACACAAGAAAAATAATATTTTGAAAAGTAATTGCTGGTGTACGATTACATTTTTGTTTAATTGGCAAACAAATATTTAATAAAATTTATTAATTTAAAAAAAGGAAAAAGAAAAATGAATCTTTTCAATATAAAGAAAATATAAAATATATAAATAAATACATAATAAAAAATATATACAAACAAGAAAAAGAGAAATAGCAGAAATGTTCTATATAAAAAACCAAGAAAGAGCATTAATTTACAAAAAGATACGGAGAATTTCAGTGGGATTTATGATCGCGTTCTTGAAGCTATTTAATATATTATATTGTCATATGTTACATATTTATTTATTTATTTATTTATTCATTTGACTTTGTATTGACGTTTTAAAAATTGCGAAAGACACAGTACTCTGGTTCTCTATTTTCTCAACGCGTTAGTGACTAACAGTTTCCTGCTAACAGTCAACATCTATTTTTTTTTTTTTTCGTGCTCACTTCTGTCAGTTATACATTGTTCATCAAAACAATGGTTAATTTTGTCGGGGGTTTGCTGTAAATTTGATTTATGTATTAATCTGGTATGTAAACATATATATTTTGTAAATTTATAATTATTTGTATGATTAAGCGCATTAAGAGTATATTTATATGTATATAATTGTTCATAGATTACTTGAAAAGGGCTGCAGTGACAGCCGAAACGTTGTAATTTAACTAATTTTTTAAATAAATTATTGCCAGTCTGGTCGACTTTAAAATTGGAGGAGAGATTTTCATTATTTATTACTGGCGACTCTTAAGGATTATCATTTAAAATATATACATTCTAAGCATTTAAATAATAATACAATTTTAAAACAAGACCATTTATATAAAATTTATATACAACGTATTCTAATTATGTTATTCAATATTTTCCAATATTTCTCTCTAATAATTTATTTATAATAAATAAACACAATTTGAATGTAATATGTAAAAACATTGTTAAATGGTTACCTAGTTGAATGCAGAAGTGTTCTCCAGAAGGAAACTGTATGGTTACACTTCGTTATATTACCAAACTTCCTGCAATATTTACATTTGATTAATAATTTTGAATTATAATATATATTGTATATATGTACAACACATTTTATTATAACATATTATACATTTATTATTTTAGAACAAATGAGAAAAAATTCGAGAAATATGCAATATATATTAACATTAAATTTAATTAAATTAAATATAATAAAATGTATAATGAATTGAAAATGTTCTGAATAAAAATATGGTTTAAAAAACGTAAATTATTTATTATTTATATTGTAACTATTACGTACACTAACTTTGCTAGAATCAAGGAAAAGATATATATTATTTAAATTCAGTCATTTTAATATCATCAATCAAACATCTTCGATTAAAATTTAAATTGTATTAATCGTTACACATTGTTAATTAATGGAATAGAGAAATTATATCGATTTTCTTAAGTCAATCATTAATGGAAGAGATTCGCATTAAATTTGCTATATTTAATCGTCAATTAAATGATTTTTAATTGTTTCTGCTCAAATCAATTGTCAATTAAATTGTCTTCGATTGAATCTGTTTTTTTCAATCGTCAATTAAAGTACTTCTAATTAAAATTAACTCATATTAATCGTTAATTAAAAACTTTTAATTAAATTAGCTTGTATTAATTTTTAATCGATCGTTCT